CCCAGCACGATTAGTTTCGGGTTCCATAGCCCCAGAGCATTGAGCTTGGATAAGTCACGGGTCATGGTAGCGGAAAGCAAGATCTTCGTGACACTTCGTTTCGGTATTGGCATCCTCATGTGGCGGAGAATCTGGTCCCTCGTCAGAGTAGCCGCCCTCGACTCTAGAGCTGGCTTGACCACGGCAATCCATTCCTGGTAACTTTCGTTGAGTAATCTGTCTGCTTCATCCACAACCACCCACTTCACATCGTTGAGCGTGAAGCCCACAGTAGACTTGAGATGATCGACCAACCGACCGGGCGTCGTGATTAGTACATCCACTTTTGATATATAGTGTGTGACATATCCCACCCACTCCATTGGGTCCGCATCTCTGACAGTTTGGGCCAGCTTGGGTAGAGAAAAGTCGGTCCAGTCAATGGGTCTCTGTTGCCATCGCTCGTATTCCTCTGGATCGTAGATCTTGTCTTCCTTTATAAGCAGATCTTGCTCCTCGGTAAGAGACTTGCTTCCCACGGCAGTCGCAAATTTAAGAGAAGTCCCGGCTGCACAAGCATCGCACAGATCACGTACCTGCTTTACGAGCTCCCGTGTTGGGACAACAATAACCGCCCTGAGCTTGGTACCTGGGATATCCTTCAAGTCGGCCACAATGGGGAGGACATATGAGAGAGTTTTACCAGAGCCTGTAGCGGCCGAAACACAAAGATCGCCTGAATGACGATCAGGGCCATTAAGTAATAATGGCAATACCGATGCTTGTATTGGTAATGCATATCGCAGTCCTTGTCTTTTCAAATTTGCCGACAAGGGCTCTTGAACACCAAGTGACTCGAAAGTTGAGGTTAGATCCAAAGGGACGACTAATGGGTCCTCTTGCCAAGGTGGAAGGATCGAGTAGGTTGGCTTCTCTGAGGCTATGTCTATCTGTTCTGGTTGAGGGATGGGTTCAAGTCCATGGAGTTCTGTGGGCGGTTCATCTGGTGCATCGTTGATCTTCGTTTCTGTCTGATCGTGTTCTCTCGCCTTTTCATACTTTGTGAGCAGTGCGCTATACTTCTGTGCATAGGCTGCAACATCTGCCTCTGCTTCTTGGTGTTCGTGGGTCTTTCGTCGCTTCTCCTTCTTCTTGCTTCCTGACTTGTTATGTGCTTCTTGTATAACATCTTCCAGGTTGAAATTCTCGTGTTGCAGTCCTTCCGAGACCTTGGGCTCATCTGTAACTGAGGTAGGCTGAAACTCTGAACCCTCAGTAACGCGATATTTGTCTAAGATTCGCTTCGCGGCCGCTGTTGGGGGATCTTCGGTGACCACACCGGCTTTCTTTGAAGCGTTGAGGGGAGGCGTGTCATCTTGTTGATCTGACGGTTTGGAGGTTTTCAGCTTCTTGCGCTTCTTCTCCTGCGTCGGGGCTTCTTGGTGTCTCTTGCGCTTCTCCCCGTTCGACAAAGGTTTCTCGGTGGGATCTGGGATGGTGGAAGCCCCTTTTGGAGAGGGCACATAGCGTGCATAGAAGCCAGACATGTGCTAAGAGAAGGCGGGGGAAAACCTCCTTTCCCGTGGTGTGATCTCGAGCGTGGGATGAGAAAATTGGACGTTCATGAATGTTGGTCGATGAAAGTTTGGAAATTTCGCCGGCAGAATTTCCTCACCGCCTTCGGGCTTGCGATGCCCCGAATTTCCCCTTTTTCCGCCTGCATCTTCGTGTTGGCCACGAGCAACATTGCGATATCCATACGCAAAACAAGACTCAAGGGTTAATATCATTGATGGCTCCGATTTTTGAAAGTGGCTTGTCTTCCTCAGGGCTCTAGCAATATCGGATGAGATATACACTTGGTCACCATGCCTTACAACATCGCGATGGTCAGCGACTTCTTCTTCCCTCAACCGGGGGGTGTGGAAAGCCACATATATCAGCTATCTTCTAAGCTGATCGATCGTGGCCATAAGGTCGTGGTGATCACACATGCATACAATGGCCGCACGGGGATTCATTACTTGACGAACGGACTGAAAGTCTACCACGTTCCCTTCCTGGTCATCTATCGAGAAACAACTATGCCTACGGTGTTCTCGTTCTTCCCCATTTTCCGCAACATCGTTATCAGGGAAGAGATCCAGATTGTTCATGGTCATGGAAGCCTGAGCAGCTTCTGTCATGAGGCTATTCTTCATGCTCGAACCATGGGCCTACGCACCGTTTTCACCGATCATTCCCTGTTCGGGTTTGCTGACGCTGCTTCCATCTTGACGAACAAGCTACTCAAGTTCGCCCTGAGTGATGTTGACCATGTCATCTGTGTCAGCCATACTTGCAAGGAAAACACCGTTCTCAGAGCGTCTCTTGACCCGTTGATGGTGTCAGTGATACCGAATGCCGTGGTTGCCGAAAACTTCCAACCCAAGACATACGTCTCCAAGTCCGACAACAATACCGGATATATGAGACCCAGGCCACTTCCGCAGCGCCTCGGTCCTGGAGACACAATTGTGATTGTGGTGATATCCCGACTCTTCTACAACAAAGGAACCGACCTTTTAATTGCCGCCATTCCAAGAATCCTTGCTGCACATCCTAATGTCCGTTTCATCATCGCCGGCTCAGGGCCCAAAGCCATCGATCTAGAACAGATGCTCGAAAGGCGAATGCTTCAAGACAAAGTCGAGTTGCTCGGCCCTGTGCGCCATGAAGAAGTCCGTGACGTGATGGTCAAGGGGCATATCTACTTACATCCAAGCCTGACTGAGGCGTTTGGGACTGTGATTGTGGAGGCCGCGAGTTGTGGGCTGTACGTGGTTTGTACCAGAGTCGGTGGGATACCTGAGGTGCTTCCAGCGCACATGACGACCTTTGCTAAGCCTGAAGAGGACGACCTGGTTGTGGCGACTGGTAAAGCTATAGCTGCCTTGCGCTCGGGCAAGGTGAAAACTGAACGCTTCCACGATCAGGTCAAGATGATGTATTCCTGGACCGATGTTGCCCAACGGACGGAACGAGTATATGATGGTATCACGGGCGCGATTACTGAACAGGAGTTCTACGGTCAACATGCAAATGCCCCTTGGAGTGCCTCCCGTGTCCGCGGTTACGCGCTGATCGACCGACTAAAACGATATTACGGATGTGGTATATGGGCTGGGAAGCTATTCTGTCTCTGCGTTGTCATCGACTATCTCATATTCCTGTTCCTGGAGATCTGGGCCCCGAGATCACGAATCGATATTGCACGATCTTGGCCACGAAAGCCCTTCATCAATGATAAGAACAAGCCGGTGGAGAATGGTACATACCGTCGACGAGGCACAGATGTCATGGATCGACGAAATGGTAGCCTTGTCATGCGATGAAATGACACCGACATATTCAAGGAACGACCTCGGATCGGAAATGCCCCCGTGATTTGTGCCCCACTGGTGGAGGGCGATATTCGAGAACGGGAGAGCTTGCATTGGCGCGCCTCCACAGAGGAGCAGGAATAAATCAACTGTTGAGAGCGCATGGCACACTTGAAAACGTACTCAACCCACCAATAAGGAAATTCTTTCAACATGACTTGGCCAGCCTTGCCAAACCGCGCTGCTTACCTGGCGATTAAGAATGGAAAGCGTCGAAATGCCCTTTCTCTCGCAGTCCTGCGGGATTTACGAGATCAACTGCACGCATACAACAGATCACCTGTCGACGGCCGGGTGAGAATACTTCCTCCCTTCAAACCGGGAATACTGGAGGACTTAGAGACGGCGGCAAAGGCCGAGAATTCTGAAGCTGCAAAAGAACATGGATGGCTCCTTGACATCGAACGCTGGCAAGAGCATCGACGGGGACTACCCAATGTTATCGTGCTACGCACTGAGGGTTCTGTCTTTTCATCAGGCCACGATCTGGGCGAGCTACGAAAACTGAGCCACGACGAAGTAAAGGAGACATTCGCCCTCTGTGCCGAAGTCATGTCCTTAATCAGGCGCTCTCCGGCCCCAGTGATTGGTGTTATCCAAGGCCTGGCGACAGCTGCAGGGGCCCAGTTGGCTCTGACAACGGATCTCCCACTGGCGTGCGCTTCAACTCAATTTCGCCTGCCTGGAGCATCGTTAGGGTTGCCATGCACATCTCCGTCCACAGCCGTCTCGCGCAGACTGGGACATGCGTTTACGTACCGGATGCTGGCCCTGGCCGAGCCAGTCCGAGCCGATCAGCTCCCAGGAGGGGCAGTTGAGGTGTTTCCAGATGAGGCAGCCCTAGAGATGCGGGTTGCCCAAATAGTTAGTCAGTTATCCGAGAAGACGGCTGCACAGCCACAGGCGCTGGGCAAATGGGGATATTGGACGCAGTTGGGACTGTCTGGGGCATCCTCTACTTCCGGAGGAGATGGCTACGAAGATGCCGTGGCATGGACTGGCAGGCTCATGGCTCTTCATGCAAGATCTGCGGATGCCAGGGAAGGTATCAATGCCTTTTTTGAAAAGAGACCGCCCGTGTGGAAGCTCTAAGCCTCCACGATTCCTGCTTGTCCGCAGCAGTGTCTCCTGACATAGGATGATCTGATCGACCTAGTGGGGTGGTCCCAGTCAATTTCAGTCAGGGACAGAAGAAGCCATCGCAACAGGGATCCATCTTGTGTGGTAAATGATTACCAACAGACCGAGAGTTCGAGACCTCGAATCGAAGTTGCGATACTAGGTACCCAGATTAGTTAAACCCACACATTACACAGGTAGTGAGCTGGTACGAACCTAGCGAGACCTGCCCACCTTTTAGGAACCTTTTAGGGGCCACAGGGCCGATTTCGAGATCCCATTGGGGCGCCATCCCCCCCCAATTACCCGCCCAGAGCCCACCCCGCTGGTCAGATTGTCTCCCCTGTTTCTCCCGTTAGAATCAACCGAAGTGCCCCTCCTCCGCGATTATGGACAAAGTGAAGAAAAAAAAGTTCATTCATACGGATTTATCATCGCCCCTAGGACAATGCCAGAATCCTCAAGGGGACGAGATTTTCAATGGCTCATGGCGAGCCTCAAAAGGTTGACACCGTCATTGTTGGTAAGTGCTGCTCGCTCCATGACCGATGCTCATATCTCTCGTCACCAAAGGTAGATAGAGGGAAACTAGACTGACTCTGTACCTCTTGCGCCCTCTGTAGGAAACGGCCCCTCCTCTCTGATTCTCTCGTACATCCTCCATGGACACATCCCATACTACGATGAATCTAGCCCGCATCCGGATGCCATCCTCCACGAGAAACTGCTCCGGCTGGGCCATGATCTCCTCGATATCGACTTCGACCACCTGACGGAGCATTTCGCTGGTTCGCGGTTCTCCTACTCAACGCAAGCCCTGCCGGTGAATGTGTTACTGGACACATTAGTGAGACCTCTGGGAGAAACCGATGACGCGGAGAAAAAGACGTGCATTCGATGGGCCTACGAGCCTTCGCGAGCGGTTGCTCACATGGTTATTGGACAAACCCACAGTACAGGCGGGCAATGGGTAGAGAATCCTGTCCACGCAAGTTGGGATATTGGAACTCTTAGTTATGCGGGAATGATTTCGCTTCCCGGCTACGGCTTTGATGAACACTACCAAAGACGAAATGGTCGGCCAATGCCCGTCTATACCAGGCCATCCCGCCATGCTGTGGCCGACTATCTTGCTGAATATCCCTTCCATGTGGGTATCGCCGACTCAATCCATAACGGAGAGCAAGTCCGGGGGGTTTCTCGTCGGGGCCATGGTTTCTATATCGCGTCGCATAATGTTCTGTGCAAGAATCTCGTCCTCGCGTCGGGAATTTTCAGCGAGCTCATCCAACCACGACCGCTACTTCGTCCTCTTGTCGAACTTCGTGCCAAACAGATGGGGCCGTCTACAAACCCACTTCTAGTCATTGGGTCCGGCTTCAGTGCTGCCGATGTGATTATCTCGAGCCCACCAAACCAAAAGATCATTCACATTTACAAATGGGCTCCGTCGACGTCACCCTCTCCGTTACGTGCTTGCCACCAGCAAGCTTATCCCGAATACGCAGGCGTGTACCGGCGGATGAAACTTGCCGCGAACCCTTCTGCAAAGCCTAAGGACAAACGCCCGAGATACCGTCGAATCATGTCTGACTTCGATTTGAGTCGCGATTGGAATGCGACCTACGAAGGGTTGCCGAACACTGAAGTCGTTGATGTCCAGGTCTCTGACGACGGATTAGCAGCTACAGTCACTTTTCAGAACGCCAGCACGAAGGAATCACCATTTCAGCGCCAAGTGAGTGGTTTGGAGTATGTGGTTGGAAGACGGGGCTCGTTGGAGTATCTCGCACCATCCCTTCTGCAGGAAGTGATACCTAAAGAAGCCGAATCGCTACGTGGTGCTGGTATGATATCAGCACAGACACTGCGCGAAAAGGCGAACGAAGATCTCGAGGTTGCGCCACATGTTTTCATTATCGGTAGTCTAACGGGTGATTCTCTGATCCGCTTTGCATATGGCGGATGTGCCTACGCTGCGGGAAAGATAATGCGGGAGAGTCAAGAGGGCGAGACTAGAGATCAGTCGAGCAAGCTAAGGAGCAACGGGTCGGTCAAGGTTTGTTTAGGCCAGTACCAAACCCCGGCGTCCTCACCAAAGATTCCTGCTATGAGCGGTCTGGATGGACATGAGTCGAGCCCTGTGAGTTTAGCGGAAAGGGCTAATATGTCGCTGGATAGACGCAAAGAATGATAGAGCTTTTGGCAAGACAGATGCGCGGGTGATAGCTGTAATCCAGGTCTGGCGTATTAGATACCACTTCAGTGTATATACAATATTGAAGATGGGGCTACGTCAATTCATCATCTGAAGGTCGTCACGTCTTGAGAGCCTCAGGCACAAGCCGAATGAAGTGACGAAAAAGCCAATCGGCCAGACTTCGGAAAGCAGCTCCGAAGCTAATGAATGTCGTTGAAACATGGATTTCGAAATGGAGTCGATGGCAAGTGGACAGCTTTTCCCAACTTTTGACAGAAAGTCAACAGCCAATGGAATCCACTTCACCATCCAGCGCACCAAGGGATCAGAGTGGCTTCTTTGAGGAGACGGTAGCATGTCATGGAGGGTCTCACGCCTTCATGCTGGAGTCCCCATAAGGGGGAGGCGACCACGCGCCTCAGAGATCTTGACCCTTCGTGAGCATGTCCGAGCTCGACACGAATCGACATCTACCAAAGGATCACTATCCACCAATGGTCTTAATACCACCACCACCATGGGGCAAACCGGCGACCAACAGAGCAAGAACATCCCGTCCTACGACCCGGACAGTTCCAGCTCGCTCGCCGACACTGGCCGCCTCATCGTCAGCGACTACGCCTGCCTCCGCGCCCATTACATGACGCCCAAGTATCCGATCGTGCTGGCCCACGGGCTGATGGGGTTCGACGAACTGCGGCTTGCGGGGGATCTGTTGCCCGGGATCAGTTACTGGCGCGGGATCAAGGAGGCGTTTCAGGCGCGCGGGGTGCAATGCATCACGACGACGGTGCCAAGGACGGCGTCGATCGCCGAGCGTGCCGAGGTGCTCATGGATCAGATCGCGAAGAGACTTCCTGCGGCGGCCACTGGGGGACAGGGCGAGGATGGAAACGATGGTGGGAGAGAAGTGAACATCATCGCGCACAGCATGGGCGGCCTGGACGCGCGGTACATGATCTCGCGGCTGTGTCCTCCACCATCACTCTTCCGCGTGCGGTCCCTGACCACCGTCGCCACGCCGCACCGGGGCAGTTCGACCGCCGACATGCTGATCCGGGACATCGGGCCGGACCTGCTCCCGCGGCTGTACCAGCTCCTGGGCCGCATGAACATCGACTCGGGCGCCTTCGCGCAGCTGACCACCCGCTACGTGACGGAGCACTTCAACCCGCGCACCCCCAACGACCCGTCGGTCAAGTACCTGTCGTACGGGGCCAGCGCGACGCCGCACTTGCTGTCCGTGTTCCGTCTGTCCCACGACCTGATGGACGTGCTCGAGGGCCCCAACGACGGCCTCGTCAGCGTCAGGAGCGCAAAGTGGGGCGAGTACAAGGGCACCCTGGCCGGCGTCACGCACCTGGACCTGATCAACTGGACGAACCGCCTCAAGAAGATGGCCAGTCGCGTCGGCCTGGTCGAGGAGAAATTCAACGCCGTGGCCTTTTACCTTGCCGTGGCCGAGGAGTTGGCTAAACAAGGGTTCTAATGGGAATAGAAGTCATACACTGTATGGGAGGACTGAATGGGATATGTGTATTTCTAGACTGGGTTTGGGACGGGAGACCGGATTTTATGTGCTTATAACGATAAGGCGTGCATATCAACCCAGAGTACGGCTGGAGAGAGGGAGCAACAGTACGACAATCCTCCCCTTCTCCAAAGTGTCGTGCGGTGAGACGGCCATTGGAACCATATAGTAGAGCCGCAGTGATCTACGTGCTCCCTGGAACTACCATAGAAATCTCTAGAACGAATTCAGTCAATATGGTTTATAGCATGCCCTTCCGAGCAATGTCTATGTTTGTAGAGGATTCGACTCCAATGCGCCAGCCCATTGTGTAATTGCCTGCCCTTCCCCTAGAACAACCACACTCTCTGTCTTGTCTGACATCGAACGCTGCACCATCTCCCATGGTCCCGTATCTTAGTCTTCCCGCGAGATCTTATCCGGCACTTCAGGATGAGGAGACATGACCGTCTTGATTAGGTCTTCGATGACTTTGGCGCCTGCCTTCTTGCCCGCCTGGTCGATCTCTTTCACTTTGGCCTCTGCGTCCTTGCTGGCATCGTCTTCGGCCTTCTTGTTCCCGCTTGATTGCTGCGCATAAAATTGATAAGCTTCGCAGGCCTGACTCCGGGGTTATCGTAGAATGCGCACCTCGGCCTCAAACTTCTTGAACTCTTCCTCCTTCTTCTTCCTGTATTCCTCGATCTCCTTCTGAGCTTCCGCTTTGGCGTCCTTTACCCTCTTTGTCCGATCTGGCGAAGAAAGGGGGCGCGTTAGACTGATCCGATATACGCTGGGACGGCGGAGAGCTGTCAAAGCTTACATTCTCTGGCTACAGTGTAGGATTGCGTTAACAAGGAACCTCGCGGCGTGACGGAACAGATCGTAGGATACATACCTTTCTGGACAATCTTCTGAGCCTCTTTCTCTGCCTGCCCAAATATTTCAGCATCTCTTGCTTTTTTTTTTCTCCCGGAACCTCACTCTTGACTTACGTCCAGCAGGGTTTGGATGCCCGCCGAGTTTTGGGCAGACTGGATTGGCATTAGCATAAACGTAACGCCGTTGGAGGGGACAGATACGAACCATCTTGCTATTGACGAATTCGAACAAGTGGTGTGAGGAAGAGGAGTAGAAGAGGCTACGAGGAACAAGCAGGAAGAGCTCAAGGAAAGGGGGATTGCGCAGAGAAAGTTGTGTTTGAGCTGGTGGTGTACCTGTCAAGCCTGTTTAGTTAGTGTTCGTATCCTAGCGATGATGCGCCTGCCCGCCGAGCTCTCTCTCCCTCTCGAAGCTGTGGAGCTTCGTTGTTCTCCAACTCCCACCCGCTTAAACATTTATTTTTTCCCTTCAATCGCTTTGCTTCACCAGCAAACATCGTTTTTGGAAGGGTCAATCACCATGTCTACAGCCTCGAAGATTACCCTCCTCAGCACTATTCTGGGTACCGCCGGCATAGTCGCCTTTGTCCACTGGGCCCAGACCGCCGAACAAGCTGTATGTACACATATCCTCGATCCTGATCCGTCATCTGATACAGCTGTTGCGCACGTGTGGATCCTCGACACTGACTCTTTCTTTCTTTCACAGGCCATGCATGCCGGTGTCGTTCGAGATATGGAACAACAACGCATAAAGAGAGAGAGACAAGCCGATTTTGACATGCAGAGACAGCTGGAGGAGGAATATAAGAAAGTGCAAACTGTGCATGACAGTACTAGTGGTGCCTGACAGGATGACTCTACTCGACTTCCTTGAAAGGACCTCCGACGCAGGTTCGAATGGCCGTCTTCGAGTATAAAGACTTCCGAATACGCTGAGTGAGCGAGAGAGCCCGAAGCTGCCGCGGCCGTACCGCACTCTCGTTGCACTGGTCAGTGAGGACATACGGGACAACTCCAACTTGAAGGAGGAATCACGGAAGAGACCACCACCTACGGTCGTGCACGGCCGCAAAGCCGTTTCCTTCCTCCAGGGTACAGTGCTCTATAAGCCACATTCTGAGCATGGCAGTGGCTCCGGGTCACGTTTTTCCCGGGTATGAGAAAGGAGGTGGAGTGATGCGCTTATGAGCATGAAGCACTTCGCTTCCGCCACCAGAGAGATGCAACCGTACAGGCGTGGAGATTCTGTCGACACACAGAATAGGGAGCGCCTTGGATCGAACTTCGACACCACAAGGCCAGTGGACTTAGACGGTGCCGAAGCAGCAGCAATCTCGACGGTGTCCTTTGTACGATTACGCATGTTCGCTGAGCGTGGGCCACAGTTGGAGAGCAGAAAACTGCTTGTATATTGTCGCAACGAAGCAGCCGGGGGTTAGCAGCTATCGAAGTGAATTCATCTCAACTCCCTTCTATCAAGGTCACGCAAATCCATATAGAATATATGAATGAATACCATCCATGGGATACTGCCCGCTTCCGGAGATCAGTCCAGATCTCTTTACACTAGAGGAGCCTCTCTGGAGAAGAAAATCATGCCGGGTAGATCTCGTCGTTTAACCCCCGTTTTATTGTTTCATGTATGATACAACCCATAATAGACACCATGTGTCTCGGACATCCCAAACATCTCAAAACATAATCACTCACTCACTCAATGCCCGATCCCGCCGGCAACCCAATTATTCCAGTCCAGATCCCCGGGGGGCGGGAACATACCTCGATCCTGGCCGCCGTTGTTCGCGTGGGGTTGTTGCTGCTGCTGTGGCGGGTGCTGAGGAGCGGCTGCTTGGGCGAAACCCAGGTTCTGGTTCTGAGCTTGAGCTTGAGCCCGGGCTTGGGCTTGACGCCTCTCTTCCTCCAGAACCCTCTGGCGGGCCTGGCGGGCGTAGACGAGCAGGGCCAGGGCGCCGGCGAGGGCGATGATGATGAGGCTCTCGACGAGGCCGTCGTCGATCTCGTCCCACTCGTCGGCGCCGTAGACGTCGCCTTCGACCCGGCCTGGGCCTCCTCCGCCCTGCTGGCCGTGGCCGTGGCCGTGTGCGGCTCGATCGGCGTATTCGGTGTTACCGTCACCAGCCACCCCTGGGTCGGCGTAGCCCAAGAGCTCGTCGTCTCCATCGCGCTCCCTCGCAAGAGCTTCTGCCTCGCGCGCGTCCATCTCTTCCGCCGCATCCAGGAATCGGTTCACCCACTCGATCCACGTCTTGGGCCGCCGCTGTTCCTCTTCCGCTTCGTCGTCTTTGATCCCGTTGACCTTTCCACCACTCACACCATTCCACCAGCTTCGGAGCCTTAGTTTTGCCAAAGCCAACGTCACGGGCAGATAGGCCTCTTTGTTCATCTCCAGCGCGAGGTCGTAGTAGCGCTTGGCCATGTGGAAGTCCTGCGAGACGCTGCCGATGCCATTTTCGTGCATCCAACCCAGATTCCACAGGGCTTGGGCCGAGTGATGTGTTTCCGCAGCCGTGGTATAGCATGTTGTTGCTTTTTCCAGGTTGGTTTTCGCTTCGCCGTTGTCTTCGGTCGGGAAAAGCGTGAGTGCTGCGTTGGTGGGTGATGACAGGGAGAGATAATAGTCGCCCATCTTGATCAAGGAGTCAACGTTGGCTTGTTTGGCAGAGCGGGTAAAGTATGCCAGAGCCAGGTATGGGTCGTTGAGCAATTTGCTCTTTTTCGCGCCGGATTTTGTCGTCGAGAGAAGAGGAATATTGAGATCGGGTAGTGATATCACCGACGTCTTGTGGTCGAGCAAGTACGCCACGTTGGCTTGTGCATTCTCATACCCTTGCTCAGCAGCCATCATCGAAGCGATATACGCTCTTTCAAAGTCACCTCTTTCGTAAGCCGAGTTGGCTTCAACAAAGGAGGAATGCAAGACCTCTGCCCTTTCAGCAACCACCTTGTAGTAGGCAGCTGCCAGGCCGCAATTGCGCTCACGGCCGACTCCTTGGTTTGTGAGTTCGGCCAGATAGTAAAATGACTCCATGACTCCCGCTCCAGCTGCGAGTTCAAAATATCGTCCAGCGGTCTCGATGTCCCCCTGGTCCAGGAAGAGCACTCCCAGCGCCGACTGAGCCAAAGGGAGAGACTGTTCTGCGGCAGCCTTCAGATATGAGCCCGCACGTAGCCCATCCTGCGGCACGCCTAGACCATCGCGATACATCAAGCCCATGTGATATTGAGCAAAGGAATCACCGAGGGCAACACCTCTCTTGAACCATATTTGAGCCTTTTCAAAGTTTTGTTCCATGCCCTCGCCACGGAGGAACATACGTCCAAGGTAGGCTGCCGCTTTTCCCGCCACACGTTCGATGCCCTTTGGTGCCTTTGCGGACACCTTGCCGTCTTTTGTCCAGTAGACCCGTGCGACTTTCATAAATTGTCGTTGTGCTTTGCGGAAGTTGCGCTTGTAACCCCGAGGGGCTTCGTAGTAGTGTTTGCCCAGTGTGATGATTGCGTTGAAGTCGCCTTGTCGCTCTTTTGTGTCGAGGTAATCGAGGACATAGTCAATATGCGCTGCGGTGACACCATCTCGAGGAGCGTTGGGGCCCGAAGAGCTGACACTTGCACCTTCGCCGTAGATGCCTCCATCAACCTCGACCCAGCGGTAGGAGTTGCGGACAAATGAGTATCCCCCAGGAGGACCTGAATGCCAATATGACATAGCCTTGTCCGCTACCCTCTTGTAGTAGGAGACGGCCTTGTCGCAATTTCTGGAACATCCAACACCGGCATGATATCTGTAAGCCAGCGTCATTTCGGACTTGATGTTCCCTTGCTCCGCGGCAAACGTGTGATACAACAGCGCCTTTGCCTGGTCTCTTTCCAAGCCGCCAACCCCCGTACCGTACATCAATCCCAACATATATTGTGCCGTGGAATTACCGTCCAAATCAGCCAGCCGACGGTACCAATATTTGGCTCTTTCAAAGTCGCGCGGGTGGGAGAAGTTGCCGTAGAAATTCATCTCAGCGAGCAGGAAGATGGCGTCTGGGTCGTCAAAGGAGGCCGCCGTGGCGAGGGAATCCACGCCCTTCTTCAAGTCCCCTTTGATCTTGGGGCCATTATTGTCGTCCCGTGTCGGAGTATTCATGAACAGCGCGCGGAAGATGATTCTCGTGTAATGCCATACCGTTCCCAGGAGGCCAGAAGGTTGTGCCGGAGCCACGCTGTCTTTCCATGTCGGCTCAAAGTCCCGCAACACCGACCATATCTCGTGAACAATGTCATTTCCACCCTGCGCCCAGTAGTTGTGCTTCTCCTGCTCGCTGCGCGGAGACTCAAGCTCCGAGTCCAACGATTCGGCTCTCACCGCAGTCGAGGTTCGGTATGAGGGGACGAGAATAGAAAGGGCGATGGATAAATCTGGACACGATACTTAGACCCCGGGCCAGGCTTTAGAATGGGCGCAACTTACAAAGGAGGATCGTGAAGATCCCATCGAATCTCCGGGCCAGCATGGCTGTTTGTAGGCGAGCGTTACCGATGACACATTATGAGACCGCAGGGCAACTGCAAGCGGTAACCTCGACAGAAGAAATACGACTACCTCCTTAGGGAAAGCGAATCAACCGGAGAGTCGAAAATGATCGCGTGAAGAAGCCAGACTGTCGCGATGCATTTGGAGACGCAGTGCGCGATGACGCCGACTGCAGCCTTGCAGCCTTAAGTAAGCCTCACTAGTCCAGTTGGCAAGGCTGGCTCCCTTGGCTCCCAAGCTTATATTCCACAGTTAAGAATACCAGTGTACATATCATACGTATTATCACTGTCTTTACAACGCATGCGGTGATTCGACCAGAATCATGTTGCAATAAGCGACTATATCTCATGGTTACTCATGGCTCTGCACCATACCGAAGGGGTCGCAACCCTCCAGCACCAGGATTCTGCTCCGTCGTGCGTTCTTCAATAGTACTCTCTAACCTTCTTCGTGGTTAGCAGTCTTCTACTCCCAATCCCGCTATCCTGCTTCCCAGTCCTCGCACTCGTGCCACGATTGAGATTGTTGACTTCAGACTTAATCTTCTTCTGGCTGTAAAGCAGGTCACTATCGTCAGTCAGCGGACTTTGCGGATCGCTTGAGAAAGTGAGATCCACCACAGGTGATCCTGAAGAAACCTGGGACAGTCTAGACTTGCTCTGGCTTTGCGACACCTTGGTATTAGCCCGGTGCCGAGCCGAAAGATCAGGACTACCCTGCGGAGTTGGGCTCTTTCCTGCCATTTTCGTCGCATTGCGAAGAGACTTCCTTGCTGGAGCTGGAGGGGACACTCTTTTGGTGAGCGATCGGGTCCGTCTGCGGTTTCTTTGGGTGGAGAGAAGTTCGCTCAGGGAGGGCAAATCGCTGTCATCGTCACTATTGCCGGAATCATGGTACGATGAGTCGTGACCATCGTACCCAAGTTCTCCTAAAAAAGAACTCCTGTCTCCTATTTCTTCACCATCGGCTGTCATGTTTTGAGAAGGCATCGAGGTCTTTTGGGATTGCGACTCCGGTATTTCCGACTCGAGTGAGTTAGGCTCGCCTTCTGAATGGCTATGGTTCTCATTACCAAGGCCTTCAGCTCCTAGTTCACCCTTCTTGCCACTCGACATCTCGTTTGATGATGTCTTCGGGTCAGAAGCAGAGGATAGATCAATTGAGGGAGCTAGTGAGTCCTTTTGTGCATCCTGATGCGAGCTGCTGTTGGTGTTGCCCATAGATTCTGAAGAATGGATGTCCATTTGAGAGATGTGAGGATAGTCTACGGTTTCTTGGGTCGGTATCAATGGTGACGAGGTTGGAGGGAGCTGGGAGCTCCCAGTCGCGCCAGCATCACCTGATCCTTCGTTGTGAGTGGTACTGGGGTCCACGTCCGATGAAGTATTCATACCAGGCAAAGGCAAGTCGAGACCGGGGGATCTTGGACGAAATCTGTGGGGGTATTGCCCTTGCGGTTGGGCCTCTTCTTCGATGGGCACAGAGGGCGCTTTCACGTCACCGGCCGCAACGTCAGGGATAGGTCGAAGTAAATTTTCATCTAGAGCTGAATTGAAGCCCGCCTCCTTGATTATCCCATTGATTTCTTGTTTGCGAGGTGTATCAATTGTGTCGATGGCTGAACTTTGCTTTTCTGCTTCATTCAGCTGAACATCTTGTTCTGCTGACTCAGGGATGTTGACAAATTGATTTTCGCTCGATGATAGAGGTGCTTCGCTGCCCCTTGACCCGCTAGCATGGTTACTATCGGGAACTTCGATCGTAGAGGGCTTGAACAGCTTCGCAGAGATCATGTCCGCGAGCGAAATTTCGCGGAGACCATCGTCAGCTCCGGTATCTGCATCTTCACTGGCTAGCTCGAACTTGCCGTAGACCCTTTCGCCTGTACGTGGATCGACTTTACCCTTCGAATCTGCAGCTCTTGAGCCGTTCATCAAGTGGAGGTGAACTGTACCGTCCTCATCCACTTGCGTTACTTGGCCAATTCTGTAGTGAGACACTTCTGGTTGATAATTTGTCGAAGCATCGACGTGCAGTTCCTTGTAGGCAATAGTGGCGCCTGGCAGAACCATTGCCTGCTCGAGTTCTGGAAGGCTGTCGAGATCTTCCTGAGCTGGTATATCCGAATTTCCATCAAGCGTCGGCACAGCATGAGTGCTCGAAGTGTCTGCTGAGACATCATCATATTCCAGAGTTGAAACAACAGGTGCAAAAGATCCTTTGTCCTTCCCACGCGACCGGTCATTTCTACTCTGGTAATACTGGCTTTGATCACGTAGTTTCCGCTTGTTTCTGTCCGGTTTGGCCCACCCCTGTTCGAACGGAAATGGCGGCGGTGGTAAGAATGCCCCAGGCTCTTCGCATTCGACTGCCGATACGATCAATCTGTTCTTCCAGAAATCGTCATCAGTTCCCTCGACTGGCGACCGTTGTGAAAACTCGGAAACACTGTTCTCATGATGACCTTCTTGCTGTTTTGGTTGCCGAATGTTTTGTGACAGCTTGACCCTCAATGCCTGGTCTTCTTTGGCGTTCTTTGGCGCTCTTAAGCCGAGAGAACCGAAGACAAGACGACGAGTACTGGCCAGATCAAGTCTTGCTCTTTTTGGGGTCGACTCCGGGGCAATTGGTGGTTCGGTTTGAGAGGTCTCAATGGCCTTGAGCTCGGCTGACACAGACGCTGTGAGAGCATCGTTGGTTACTGCTGAGTCTGCGTAATCTGAAGACTTTAAGTTTTCGTCACCCTCTTTCTCGGCTGATTTGACCGTTGCGTCTGTACGACTTTCCGCATCTGGTGCATCCTCTTGAACTGGGGGGTCGGCTGGCTGTTTGACACCTGACAACTGTTCTTCTTCCACCGTTTGTTGTTCCATGGTCTCGTATCTCGCTAGTTCCTCGAAGCCTGCATTTTCAGGGAGCGCTCCTTGCCTCTTAAGCTCATTGAGTCGCCTCCTTCTTTTTACCCTGGCATTGTTATAATGCGTTTTATGTGTTCCCTGGAAGGGAACGCCTACCAATGGTTTGGCAGGCTTTTCTGGAGATTCACGTGTCTGGATGGCTGCTGTAGGTGGAGCTGTCTTGGACACAAGTGGACTCTCTGCTTTGGCCTCTTCAGCATCGGACTCAGAGTCGGATTCAGAGTCGGATTGGGAATCAGAGGATGTTGTAGCTTCTGACGAGGTGTCGTCTGAAGATTCAGACTCGGAATCCGAGGTAGAGGAGCTATCGCTCTCACTCTCGACTTCCTCCGGATCAAGCCCGGTTGATTTGTTGTCCACTTCAAGACCTCTGACGAGGTTCAAAACCCTCTTCTTGGATTGCTGCAGGGCAATATCTTCCATCATGCTATCAGCATCAGAATCCGTGTCGGTGTCGGATGATGTGATACCGGAGCTCGAAGTCATATCTGAATCTTCGGAGTCATATTCATCATCATCGTCCCAAACCATAATGTCTCTGGCACTTTTCTGGTCTTGTCGATCAGCGATTTCCCCTATTAAATTCTCCAAGCCTCCGTCCCGGTCGTCCTTTAACTCAGCCCTGCCTTCTTGTCGACCATTGGACTTGCCATACACCTTTGCAGGTGAGCTATGTATGGGAGTGGAGAAGCCTTCAAATGTCTCGTTCTCGTACTCTTCGCCGTCGTCTCCGACGTCTCGTTTTCTTTTCAGCCTCTTGTCAAGGACTTGCAGTGCAATGGCCATGTTACCTGCTTGTTCAATTTCGGCAGCGTCTTCAAGCAAGTGCTTAAGCTCTGAGGACAGGCGCTCGTCTTCATCTCCACCATCGAGGTCCGCCTCGTCTTCTGCATCGGCATCGGCATCGTCGAACTCTTCTCTGATGGTGACTTGCAATTGTGAGTTGTCGACATCAGCATTGGCTTCATCTTCCACGTAGTCATCATCGTCCTCGTCATCATCATCCTCTTCTTCCCCGCTCGTAAATGGTACCAAAGCATTTGTGTACGCCTCTTCCTCATCAGCAGCGGGAAGGATGAGCCCAGTATCTTCCCCTGCTGGCCCATCGGTATCTTCGTCAAAGAGAATCCTCCTCCTTTTTCTAGGCGGGATAAGGACACCCGGTCGCGCAGTCTTCCTCAACCACTGCTTGCCGAATGCCACACCATCGATCAAGTGTCTGCCGTCGCCTGTGATCTGATGTCGTCCACCCAACCTCCTCGCCCTTAGATCGTCATTGCTTAGTGCCCTAATCACCACCTCATCATCTTCTCTTAATACACTATGCAGTGTCTGGTAGTGCAGACACTCGTACGTCAAGTGTTGGTCCGCAGTGGCTGAGACTTCGACGACGTAGTCTTCCAGACCCCATTCGCCGTCCGCAGACTCTAGAGGAACAAGGTCGTTGACATCGGCGAGCAGGTCGGCGATCGTGGCAGAGCGGGACTTTGTATGCGAGGCGGGCCCACTGCCGGTTGTGTGTATGATGGTGACAGGCGGGAGAGAGTACCGCTGGATGAGGAGTCGAAGGCGCATTTTTTTGTAGTCAGGGCACGAGTGCAACTACTCACACGCATGACATGACAAGACAAGACACACCCCACCGACGCCTGACGACGAAAAGGAAAATGCAGAAAAAAAGAAAGAGTAAAATAAAAACGTCTCGTCCTCACACGCGAGGCAGATTCCGAGTCGGGGTTGATCGACGCTTGCTCTGCCAAGCCAAACGCTGCGATTCCACAATTTAGCGTGGCGAGGCTGCGCAGCTGAAAAAGACCTTGCAGCGCTCGGGTCCTTAGGGCATCAAGGGAAGTACTTGTATGCCAGTTGCGTTGATTCCACTGTCGCCAGTCATGGCATATATGCGATTTCAAGCCCGAAAATCAGGACGTGATTCCAAGTGCGTTGACGAACCAGAAAATATATCTTGATTTCATATTTCATGAATTAAATAGTGTTAATTGCCCCCAAAACGCTCGCTCACATAGTGTCCCATATCTTTGACAAACTTCCCGTTTACTCCTTTCTCACTTTCATCCACAAAGCACCATTTTTCGTACAATGGGAACACATTGGTTTCACACTAGGACCGGAGCCGTATATCCAACAAAATTCCAGCTCGGAGCAGGTAGCTATCTCTCGCCCTAAGAAGCGCTGACGAGGAACGGGGATTTCCCAAACATGCTAGGCGGCGACTCTGGCGGCGTGGGTTGAACCTCCCTGAATGAGATTTGGATACTCATTGAGGCGAATTTGCTCTCCATCTCGGCTAATCTGCGCTCGAGATCCTTGATCTTTTGTTCCATTGCACTGACATCGGTCGTTTCGGTCGTCTCGCGCACGGGGGAGGGTGTCACAGGTCTCTCCTCCACACGTGGCTGTTGAACTGGGGCCGGAGCTGGGATGACTGCCTTCACTGGCTCCGGAGCAGGCGAGGGTGTGGGGACAGCCTCGGTCGTCTGTTTCTCGCCGTTGAGGTCGGCAATAAATTTCATGGCTTCTTTCCTTACATCATAGCCGAAGAAAAACTGACAGATTGGCGGGCTGTGCGGCATTGAGCCCGTCGGTGGCAGGGGACCTGAGTAGTATTTTCGGATCTCAGCTTCTTGTTTGGCATAGTTAGCCGCAGCCTGTGGTCCGGGAACGACAGGGTCTGTCAGGATTTGTGTCGCAGAAACTCGGGGTAGACGGAAGGCCTCGAATTGAGCTAGGCGTTGCAGCAGCTTCTCTGATGGCGCTGAAGTAACGTCTCCAGTGGCGGGGACGTCGGCGAGGAAGAGCTCCAGCGCGGCCGCATCTTCGATAGAGGACGAAACACCCTGAGCATGGGTCAGGAGCATAGGGTGGCAGGCATCGCCGATCAGAACAGCCTTGCCCTTGGTCATCTTGATCAAGGGATCTCGTTTCATCTGAGTGTACACTTTGACCTCGGGCGACTTCAAAAACACCTTTTTCACAGCCGGGTGGAAACCATCGAGAACTTTCTCCAAGTCCTCATGCGTGGCGGGAAAGTTCCAGTCCTCAATCACGACATCGTCCTCACTTGTCGCATGTTGGCCCAGCTTCCGGTGCACAGCAAGCACGTTAAGGATTTCATTGTTTCTGCAAGGATAAGTGACGGCCATAACACCCTTGGAAGGCAAGGCTGGGGCCCAGAACCCGGGCGGTTGGTTCTCGAACAAGAATTTGGTCTCCTCGTCGGCGAGAATATCCTTCATGGGAATGAGGCATCGATACGCCGTCTGGCCGCTTCTCTTCATGGGGACCTCCTTGCCGGTGATCTTAGCGTTCATGCGATCCTAGTGCACAAGTCAGCGACCGTGAAACAGTATAGTCGTTTACGGGGCAGCGCTAACATGCTGGCCATCAGCAATGATGACGAGATCTTTCTGTACCCTCGTTCCATCTTTCAAGGATATAACGCCAGTCTCGGGGTCAACGTCCATCACTTGTTGTCCCAGCCTGATGATCGCGCCAGCTTCCTCTGCTTGTTCCTTCAGGCGTCGATGCATGTCGACTCGGTGATAGAAGAACCACTTGTTGCCATATAGTTGTTCTGCATTGGAGAAGTTCAATGTTGGGGCCATTGGTTCCAAGGTGTCACCCTTTGGTCGACGGACCTGCATGCGGCTGTCAGCTGACACACTCTAGAAGCTGGCGACTAAGGATCCCAGTTGCAGACGTTGGGTAATCATATATCCTGGAATAGATGCTCAAGACACCCTCCTTACCTGGATATTCTCGATGCCTCCCGCTTTGATGGGATCAAACCCCCAATGCTCCAGGACCCGAGTTCCATTGGGTGGGATAGACACGGCAGCTCCGTTTTCGTTCTTGAACTGAGAGCGCTCGAAGATCTGCGGAGACAAGGTCAGTTTTTATCTCTTGATCAAGCAATATGCATAGAAGCACAAAAGGGCGATCTTTCCAGGGAGCTGAGTCTGACTGACCTCAACGTCATGGCCGATCTTTCTCAAAGCGATGGCAGCACTCAATCCCGCAACACCAGCACCACAGATTCCCACTTGAAAAGCACCGGAAGCGACCATATTGACGCTTGTGAGGGGTGAAGATAACGACAGTCGTTTCCAGGTTCCGTTCTGGAGAAAGGACAAACTAGAAAAGAGTGGACGAACGGAAAGCAACAGTTAGAACGGGATGTACCACAGAATATGAATGCTGCGGCTCAGTAAAGTTGACAACGAAACGCCATCCATGCTGGTCTGAAAGTTACTTTTTATACCATCGCGTGCGTGCCACCCACCCTGCCCTCAGTTCATAGGTGTACAAGGTTAAGGAGACCAAGCGAGGTGGTTTCTCCTGCTAGTGGCTTTGATGCTGGGCAGCCGTGACGAGGGTGTGGACAAGATGGCGACCAGGCAAGTCAGGCCAGGTACAAAAACCCCTGACACCTGCAGTCAGCCATTATGTTCTAGCCCAAACTGTCCCACCGAGACTCGAGATTGTAGGTGAAGCCGCCCATCGTCAGACTTTCAGGCCATCGATTCGCAGGTTCCCAGATGAGGTGATATCAAAGAGGCGCAAAAAGGGAACACAGAGGGAGTTCAACATGTGGAAACTGGTAATCGCCGGAAACAGTTGGTGACCAAAGCCACCCGCCACCCCAGTCTAGCGCTCGGAATGCCCAGAGTCGTTAATACCTCGATGCTGCAAGGCCGAGACCACAAGCCCGTGGGCGGTGGAACCTGAACAGCCTTGGAAAAAAAACATTTTAAACTATACTAGCAGCCGGGTACCTCATAGTTCCCCTGCCCAGAGCAACGGAGAATCCAAAGCCAAGATGTGTACAAGTATAGAACAAGTGGATGAGTGCCTGCGCATTTCCCATGACTTTGGACACTGGAATCAAAGAGTAATGCTGACTGCGCATATGTCCGTAAAGCGTGGACGAGATAGCGATGTGTACCTTAGTACCGAGTAGGTACCGAGTAGAGAGGTGTGTAATAGGGAGGAGGCTCAAGCCACTTTGAGCCTGTACGGAATATCCCAGTTGGGTGCCAGTCGATGCGTCAGCTGGCGAAAGACAGGGGTAATCCAGAGCCTTCGATAGGCTTTTGGAAGCTGCAGTGGCTTGCGGATTAAGAGACAATCTCCAATCTCCACGTGGTGTCGAGTGACCGTTTCGGGCCAAAAAGAGGCGTTCCTCAGGGCGCGTCAGCTGCATTTGGGTCCCAAGCTAATTTAATGGGCGCTAGCCGAGGACTTGGGGACGGCTTCCAAGAGCCTATCCAAGGTGACCAGCCAGCCAGGCACAAGTCCAGGGGCTGCAAGGCCCTCGTAGTCCAGACCACCAATTTGAGGGGAGAAAGTCAAAAAAAAAAATGTGCCTCACGTGTCGGATGTTTGATGGTTTGATGTGAAGGTTTAAGGGGGCAGTGCCGTCTTGAACTCTTTATTAAAGGGATATTCCGCATATTTCGAACAATGTCATGCGTGAGGAAACAACAAGATCAACATTCATCAACCCGCAGTTGAGCGATCGATCTGGGGAGCAGGAGAAAATGCGGGCGATGCTAATGGCAGCGAGTGCCGAATGAGCATCTTTAGGCCTCCAGACTCGCCGACTCCCGAAAGTACCTTGTCATACAAGTTAGAAGGATCTGAGCAAGTTTAGGGGCCACGAGGGGTCATCCTAGCAGTACGGAGTACTCAGGGCCTGGATGTGCAGTTGAATATTCCCCGAGAAGACGGTTGGTCGACTTTACCATCCGTTTGCGGATATTGTCCTTTTGTCCTTTAGAGCAATGCAGGTATAATGGGCTTCAACACGGGCTTGAGGAATTCGTTCTTGTCGCACAACACGAACCCGGGTCCCCCGTCAATTGCTTGCTTACAGGTCACCATGTTACCTTTGGCGACCCTAGTTCGCTTATCATCTTGTTACATTCATTGATATAAGGCCCGTACGAAGGGATGCGTAAGGCAATTTCCCGAATGTGCCTCCTTTTTAGACCATCAACGATGTTCCCAGGCCTTTGAATCCTCGGAGATGGAAAGTGTAAGGTGGTCCTGGAATTGGGATTTTTCGGGCTGTAACTTCATTACTCCTACTGCTGACTTGCGGCCTCTACGGCCGCCGTAAGGACACTTTTCTTACTTTAAATCTTCATGTTGTTAGACAAGTGTGTAGGATAGGTGTATTCAAGGGGTGACCCGCAATTGCGTCGGTAGGATTCGCCGATTTAGAGATACTGTTTTGCCGGGACTTCGAGGTCAGTCTTGTAATTCAGTATACCGAGTATAGTCCCGGACAGCCCTGATGATGTCGTCAACCCTCGCCCAGTGATCGAAAATCGAGCAGCAACTTATCAACAAGGCTGTGGCTCAGCAGGGGTTGAGAGCACAATGCTCTACTGTATGTACGGGACACTGGTGAAATAGTTCTTGTCCTTGCGTGATTGGCCCGCTGACGAATGATGATCACGTGCACCAGATTTACTGAGGCTCTATCCAGACTAACCTCATTTGTACTAGCCTTTCAGAACCTCGAGTGTCCTCAATTCAAACCGCAGAACAGTCCGCGAACATATAACCGGCGAACATACAGCCGGCGTCGATGATCGCGTCGTTCCAGGAAGGCGAATGGCCCTTAGCTTTCAATCTTGTATGTTGTTCCCCTGCCTGCTAGTAGAGATATGCCCAGACAACAGTGCGACTCCCGAGAATCCTGACGAAAAGGCAATGTACCGATAACGGACTCTTGGACGAACAAATGGAGAGGAGCCCGATTCCCGCCGCTCTCAAGCATTACACAACAAGGGCTTTTTCTCCAACTAGATGATGAAGCCAAGTCACCCTCGGCCATCAGGAGCATTCGACGAACATGCTCCAACAAGACCCCGCACGAGATGGTTATTTGCGTTTCGTAACGTCGAACTTCTCTCCAACTCCCATTATGTGGGGTGTGAGCCTATGAGGTGTGAGCATTGCATGTCAGTGCTCGTGGGAACAATGGTCCCTCGAGCAATATAAAGCTGAAGTGCCGATCCAAACAGCTGACAATTTGCCATCCTCTCGACCCTGCCCAACTCGCCACCTGCGAATCCCCAGATCTGCTCGTCGACTCACCACCTGTTGGTTCTGCTTACGTATCCTACGACTTCAGCACTTGAGGATCAGAGGAGCGGGTCACGACTCCTACGAGGAAATATGGCGCCCAAAACTTTGAACGATTTGAAGCGCAAAGACCTGTTTCAGACAAAAGGATACATCAATGATAGCTGGGTCGATGCAGTCTCGGGCAAAACATTCGATGTGTACGACCCTGCTACACTCGACAAACTCGCGACCCTGCCCGAGATGGGCGCTGCAGACACCGACAAAGCCATTACAGCTGCACATGAAGCCTTCCAGAGTTTCAAAAAGACGAGCGCCCGCCAGCGAGCGCGATGGCTGAGGAAGTGGAGCGACCTCTGTCTCGACAACCTCGACGATCTTGCTTTGATTCTCACCCTCGAAAATGGCAAGACTCTAGCCGAAGCCAAAGGTGAAGTCACTTATGCGGCGTCTTTCCTCGAATGGTTTGCCGGCGAGGCAGAAAGAGTGCACGGCGAGGTCGTCCCTCCAGCTAACCTCAATCAACGAATCTTGACTTTCAAACAACCCATTGGTGTCGCAGCATGTCTGGCCCCCTGGAACTTCCCAATCGCCATGATAACGAGAAAGGTGGGTGCGGCGCTAGCAGCAGGATGCACAACAGTGTGGAAACCGGCTGGGGAGACTCCGTTAAGCGCTCTTGCACAAGCTGTCCTCGCGCATGAAGCTGGATTTCCAAAAGGCTCAATCAACGTTATTACTACTCTCAATCTTGTCAGTGAAGTCGGCGATGCACTGTGTAAGAGCAGTCTGGTCCGAAAACTGAGCTTTACCGGCAGTACTCGCGTGGGTAAACTCCTCGCAAGACAATGCAGTGATAGCCTCAAGAAACTATCGCTTGAATTGGGTGGTAACAGCCCGTTCATCGTGTTTGATGATGCCAAACTCGAGACTGCGGTAGAAGCCTGCATATTGGCCAAGTTCCGAAACTCTGGCCAGACCTGTGTGACTGCCAACCGCATTTTTGTCCAGAAGGGCATCTACGAAAAGTTTGCCGACGCTCTGACGGTCAGAATCAAATCACTTAAAGTCGGTCCAGGAACCGAGGATGGAGTCTTCGTGGGTCCATTGACGCACGAGCGGGCCGTTGAGAAGGCGATGAACCACATCAACGGTAAGCAGCAGGGGCTTTTTGTGTCTTTCACTAGACGGTCGCTAACTCAAACCAGATGCTAAGAAACACGGCGGTCAGGTCATCCTGGGCGGAGAACCATTGAAGGACTTCAAAGGCTATTTCCTTCAGCCGACAATCATCAAGGGGATGAACCGGGAGATGATCACCACGCGGGAAGAGACATTCGCCCCCGTCGTCGGTCTTTACGAATTCGATACCGAGGAGGATGTCCTCAAAATGGCAAACGACTGCAACGTTGGTCTCGGGTCGTTCATCTGCACTGAAAACATCCCACGAGCATTCCGGGTCACCGAGGCATTGGAAGTCGGCATGGTGGGAGTCAACCTTGGAATGCTCAGCGCGTGCGAGAGTCCGTTTGGTGGCGTCAAGGAAAGTGGTTATGGACGAGAAGGTGGCCGACAAGGGATCGAGGAATATCTGAGCGTCAAGTCCATGTTGATCAACGTGGCCAACTAAGTCTTCCTGTAGACTCAAGGTATGGTGTCTAGTCACGCAGACGTGGATTTTTCACAATGCCAGGAACCACTAATTCGCTTTTTTGCCTTTCTTGTCCGCTTCTTTCCGCTTCTGGGCATTCCCCATGCCCGTCTTGATTTCTTCGTAGTACAGCATCGCGTACCTCGTCAAGATCATGATACTGAGGGCGCGGTTCCTCGCCTCGGGAGCCCCCCTTCCGTGAGACACGAGATAGTAGACGTCGAGCCCGATTCCCCCGACCAGCTGCGCCCAACCCGTGACGCGCAGGACGGGCCTGAACGCCCTCACGCCGCCAAAGTACGCGTACATCCAGAAATGGTGGAGGCAGTTGAGGCACGCGAGGAGGTGCCAGTCCGAGGCGTGCAGGACGCGGAGGTACGTCAGCACGGGCGTCGTGATGTGGTGGAACGCCATGTGTTCGTTGACGGGGGTCCCCGACGCGACCAGCCCGAACACGTCGACGTACTCGTAGAACTTGGTCAGGTGGTACAGGTACGCCAGGCCTGATGTCGTTACGTGCTCGAGGTCCACGAAGTGGAATGTCTCCGTGTCGTTGAGGACCAGGCACGCCAGCGCCAGCGAGAATAGCGCGTAGACCTGGTTGTTCAGCCGGGTCAGCGGGCGCGCGAGGCTGAAGAACCCGTTGCGCGCGACGTAGCCTCGCAGGGTGCTCCAGAGGAAGATGAACGGGCCGGTGGTCAGGATGACGCTTTGCAGCGACGTCAACGGTCTGCTGCTGTCGTCTTCAGAGGCCATGTCTATCGGGTTGCGCTGAAGCTGAAGGGTTCTTTTCCGCGGGGTGGGAATACGTGGAGCAAGTCAGACAGTGTTTGTCACTTCCTCAAGGCTATCGTAACGCTCGAAGAGGAAGAATATAAGGAGATTTCTATTGGCACTACTAGCTGGTTCCATGAAACGAAAAACTTCTCTAGCAAAGGTGAGAGTGGAATATGGGTGAGTCACAAACACCTGCAACCCTGATGTAGCGTGGGCTTATAAATAGCCAGAAATGGTGCCAATGAGGTATAGGCAGAGTTCCACGACTGACCAGCCACCTAGTCGCTCCTAACGTATGTATACCGAGTTGGACGTAAACTTGAAAAATCACTAATGGAGTCAGTCATTACAGATGTCTATCTACCGTTTCCACAGTATCTGACCCATCAATCATCCGTTCAACTCAACTCTCCTCTTCAGAATGTTTCTGGCTTCTCCTTCACTGAGGTGATATAGGCCCATGTCCGCGAGAGCCTTTCGTGCTGCTTCGTTGCTCTCGAAAATCAGCTTCTCTACGTCCCAGAGTCCAGGCTTCTTGACGCCGGTATCATCAGTGATAGCCTCATCCGTGGTAGCTTGCCCTCTCGACTCCTCGTCGTTGTCATCATCATTGAATCCCCATTCGTCCTCTTCGCTGCTCTCCAGGGTTTGTGAAGCATCCAGAGAAAGCAGATACACGGCCTCTTCGAGACGTTTGAAACCCGCTCCAGTAACTCCTCGTAGTCCGCTGTGTTTTTCGATGGTCGTTTTGATTTCGGAGAGGTCCCTGGCCAACTGTGCTGCGCCAGTGGCTGAGAATGTATGGTACATTATAACATTATCGTAGACCTCTCTCTGCAGGGTGGAGCAGTAATGCTTACATATCCGTCGCATGGGTCCAGGGGCCAGGACGCGAGAAAGATACCCCAGCAGCGTGGCTGTTGTCTGAAAGAAGCCATCAAGGCTCGGAGAAGGCGCCATCGCAGCTGGGTCGGACAATGTCTCCACAAGAGACGACCACTGAGCATGCTTGACGTATGCTCGCAGCGCCCCTCTCAGGTTGATGTCGAAGAAGCGGAGCATTTCCTCCTCACAGCGTTCGCGTAGTCGTCGATATGCGGAGGCAGTCTGGTCGAACAGTCCACTTCCGTCTGAATCCTCATCCGTTTCAACGCCGTTTGACTTGATGGTCGTTGAGGTCTTGTCCGCAACGTCCTCCACCTTCAAGTCTGTGCCAATGGACGCACCTGTGCCGCTGTTTGCTTGGGCGCGATATTGAAGTTCGTCCCACAGCTCCAGAAAGAAGACATCATCATTCCAATCCGACATTTTCCGTTCAAGAAATTCAGCACTACCGAAGATCTTGGCCAGGGACTCCAGCCCTTTTAACCCAAAAGCTTCGGCTTCAGACTGTCCCTGAAGTAACCGGCCGGCCGTGTGGGAGGATACAAGATATGCCTGCAGGCCCCCGTGAAGATTGTTGTGATAATCATCGAAGATGGAGAGTTGAATCTCCAGGAGAAACTTCATCTTCTGGCTGAACGACGAAAGGCCTCGATAGCGATCCGTGATCGTCTCCAAAAGATCATTGACGCGGATAGCCCCCTTTGTCGGCTTCGTCTGAGTGGCGTCTGCGTCAAAGTCAATCTCATTGCTATCTGGAGCATCTCTAATGCTCTTGTATCGAGAAAGAGCAAAGTCCTTTTCGACTTTGAGCCACAGAGCAAAGTAACCGTGTGTGGTCAGCACTCTCCAAGTAATCCCTTTCCACTCTGCCAGCATCCTGGGAATCGGAATGTAGCTCCAGGTGTCACGAATGGCACTATCAAACACCATCAACTCGTGCATAAAGTGAGATATCAGTTGTGGTTGTTGTGAAATCTGGGGCAGAAAAGACAGGCATTTTGCCTCGACCATCGGCAGCAGTGCCGTAATGAACGCGGAGACTGCGTCAGGGTAGAGAGTCTCCAGAGCCTCAGACTGGTGCGCCCTGTCATCCAGTATAGGACCCAGCATGTCGCTCATGAAGGCGCTATGTGTCTCTAGCAAATCTAAGACATGGGTGAGGAAGTATTCGGGCTTGTCCAAGCGATTCGTGGGTTTGTCTCCGTAGAAATGGTATCTGAACCTCACTACCAATGGTTGAACCATGACCTCGAGCGGGAGTAGTACGATAGGTTCAGGCGTCGAAGATCGACTTTGGGTGTCAAGGCCTGCGTACGTTTCGATCAGGTCGGGCTCTTGTAGCTGGAGAAGTAATCTGACATTCTCCTCCCATTGATTCTGTATTTTGTGCTGGAGGTTCAACGTTTTTGCCGGCCATTTCATTTCTGCAAGACTTTCCTGCAAGCCTCTTTCTAGGGATGCTTTGATGAGAGCATGGAGCTGCTGCATTTGTTGCTCAAAGGCATACGTCAATTGAGGTGCCGCCCCTTCTGCAGCCGGCTGCGCATCTTGAATGTGCCTCCAAATGGTCCTCAGCCGAAGATATCCTTTGATTGATGCCTCCGGGTCCGCAGAAAAGTTCTCTTTCGTTGTGTGGCTCAAAGTGTCTAGTTGCTGATACACCTCTAGATAGCTTCGAGCAACTTCGAGACGGCGCACCTTTATCAACCTAGCTTCAACTTTTCTCGCGGCATCATCGCTGACGTTTGATTGTGCAAGGTCTCTGAGCCGTCGGTCTATGTCGGTGTGTTCCCTCTTGCATTTTTCGGCCGCTTCTCTCAACTCTCTGGAACGTTCATTGACTCTGTTTGTTGCCTCTGTGTAGTCTGTCCGCGCCGCTTCAAGCTGTGGCACATTTAGATACAGCCTGATTCAGGGACAATTAACCTCTCACCTGTTCCCGCAGCAGGGTTTGTTGTTCTCGCACCCGTTGTACCAGGCTGTCCACCTGTTCTAGGTCCACCGCAGTTTGTATCTTGTCGTTCAGGTAGTCTTCCACCCGCGTCTGTCCATCCACGGTCTTGGTCATGGCGAGCTCAGCCATACTTGCGGACCGCGAAATAGTGGTTCAACAAAGGTAAAAATGTCACAACTGCGCTCTGGAGTCGCAGGAGGCATGATCGGTGTGAATTTCTCCGACTGCGACCAGCAGCGCGTCACGTCATGTGGTTGGAGACGCGCCGCCACTATTTTCAACCATCTGATTATGAAGTCACCACTTGTCCTGCCTCCTCTGACTTCTGAATGCAGCTGCAGAATGACTGCAATATAACCGCTTTGGATGGCACTGGCAACGATGCCAGTGCCCGACCTACTCAGCAGTCATGGAGAGTCCGGCCAAGAGGAGGAAGAAGAACGATTCCAAACCCGCCGAAGTGCCGTCTCGAAGTCTTGATTTTTTCTTCCGCAAGCAAAATGAACAACAGAATGGAGGGAGAAACGGAAATGCGCGCCGTGAAGACGTCCAAATACAAGATCTGTCGACCTCGGAGACGCAGTTGACTGATGAGGAGCTGGCCAGAAGGCTTCAAGAAGAATGGGCAAAAGAAGACGGACCACACGAGAGCAATTTCAGGGAGGCCAATGACCGCCAGTCACCAAAGCCTGCCGAAGGACACGAGCACAAGGTCGAAGAAGATGTCAAAGATTTCGTTTCCGCCGCGCTTGAAAGGACCCCTTCACCCCAGCCTGTGCCACAATCGAACACGAACAAGAAGGGTGTACTTGGGTTACAATCAACAGCCTCAGAAGAAGATACCATCACATTGACGATACCCTTTGACCAGAGCCCTTTGTCCTTTGATCCGTCACATTATGTCTCTGATCTGAGAAAGCACTGGGCGGGAGATGGCGGTAATGCATCGTACGCACTTCTAACGCGATGCTTCGTGCTGGTCAATTCGACGCAAAGTCGGATCAAAATCGTGGACACTCTGGTCAATTGTCTCAGGGTCATCATCGAGGCGGACCCTGAGAGTCTTCTTCCTGCTGTTTGGCTGGCTACAAATTCCATCTCGCCGCCTTATATCTCTCTGGAATTGGGTCTAGGCGGCTCAGCGATTTCCAAGGCTTTAAAGAAAGTGTGCGGTCTCGATGGTGCCGGTTTGAAAACCCTTTATGACAAACATGGAGACGCAGGAGATGTCGCATTCGAGGCAAAGAAGAGGCAGAGTTTCACGCTGAGGAAGCCGAAGCCACTTACCATCAAAAGCGCATATCAAACGCTGGTCAAGATTGCCAACAGCAAAGGCCATGGAAGTGTTGAACAGAAACAGCGACTTGTGGAACGCCTTCTTCAAGATGCGCGAGGACCAGAAGAATCTCGATACATCGTGAGGACTTTGGTCCAGCATCTGCGGATCGGAGCGGTGAAGACAACCATGCTGATTGCCCTGGCACGGGCATTCCAGCTCTCGCGTCCACCAGGGGCGGACTTCCCCATCAGACAGACGGCCGAGCTGGCAAAGCTCAAGAAAGAGGAATTGGCGGTTGTATGGGCAAAAGCGGAAGAGATTGTCAAGACATGTTTTGCACGACGGCCCAATTACAACGATCTCGTGCCAGGCCTCCTCGAACTTGGAGTGTCAGAAGAACTCCTGTTGCGTTGCGGCTTAGCATTACATATTCCTCTCCGTCCGATGTTGGGTAGCATCACTCGGGATTTGAGTGAGATGCTCACCAAATTGCAGGGCCGAGACTTCAGCTGTGAATTCAAATACGACGGCCAGCGAGCACAAGTCCATTGTGACGAAAAGGGCAAAGTGTCCATCTTCTCTCGCCATCTCGAAGTCATGACAGACAAATATCCTGATCTAGTGGCGCTGGTGCCCGAAATCCGCGGTGACGGTGTCTCCAGCTTCATTTTGGAAGGAGAAGTCGTTGCCGTGGATAGAAATACAGGTGAACTTAAGACCTTCCAGACTCTCACCAATCGGGCCAAGAAAGATGTCGATATCGGTTCTATTCAAATCGACGTTTGCTTATTTGCATTTGATCTTATGTACCTCAATGGCGAGCCCTTGCTTGATCGGCCATTTCGAGAGCGACGCGGTCTG